GCTTTCCGCGGCCGGTGGGAGCTCCGCGCCCCCACTTCGGGAGCCTTGAGACGGGGGTCAATGCAAACGGGGGTCAGCCAGGGCACCCGATCCTGCAGGATCCTGCGAAGACCCCCTCTGGCTGACCCGGGTTAGCGAGCCGCTCGTGGCCGCGAGGCGGCCGCGCATATTGGTTGACCCGGGTTTGCGAAGACCTGCGTTGCCGTTTTTTTCCTGCATTGCAGTTTTTGGTGTCCTGCTGACCCGGGTCTGGATTGACCCGGGTCAGAAGATCCCCGACCACTCTGCTGGCACGTCCCTGGGCGAGACCATCGCCTTTCTGGGGGCTCCACGCCGACAAGCCTGCCGCCCTCGGGGGGGCGCCACCGTGCCCCAGAGTGCCGAGTCCGTGGGTGCTGCCAGCTTCCGCGAGCCTGCCAAGGCTCTTGGGAACCTCCTAGGGCCTCCTGGGAGCTTCTCGGGGCCGAGGGTTCGAAGTGTCCGTTCGGGTTCCCCGTCAAGGCACTCTCTTGGAGCCGTCTCGGAGGCCTTTTGGGCCGTCTTGGAGGCGTTTTGGGCTGTCTTGGGGTTCTCCTGGGATGCTTTGAAGCGCTCTTGGAAGCCTCTTGGGCCGTCTTGGGGCGAGCTTGACAGCCTCTTCGGAAGCGGAAAAAGCGAGAACGCCCAAATTCGCCAAAAAGGAATATCAGTGATTTGTGTTTTTTTCTCTCTCGCTGACAGGCTTGAGGAGAGTACAGGGAAGGGGGACCGACGACGCAGACGACGACTGACGGAGACGACGATTCGAAGAAACAAACCCCTCGCACACGCCGACAGGGTCGGCAGATTTTGTCCGATCTTTCAACCTGTCCGCCTTTTCCAACATGTTCAAACCGAGCAGGTCCCTTCCAGAAATGAGTAACCCTCCTCCTTCTCCTCTTCCTCTCCCTCGTGCTCATTACCGTTGTCGTCTCCTCGTTCTCCCGAAGGGCCTCGTGTTCTTCCTCGCTCTTCTCTCCTCCTCCTACTCGTCGTCCTCGTCCTCCTCCTCCTCCTCATCCTCTTCGCTTGTTCGCTCCTCCTTGCTTCTCTTCTCTTCGCTCCTTCTCTCGCCCATCCTGGTTGTCATCCCCCCACCGCCGCTCTGGCTCAAAGCGAGCGGGGGGCATCTTGTCGAGCCTCGACTGTAGATAATTCGCCAGTGCTGGCTCAAGATGTTTCGAGAGGGGCACATCCTCCTCTCCTCCTCTGTTCCTCCCTCTCCTGTGCCTCCCCTCTCTCTCTCTCTCGCCCTCCTCTGTGATCGCGACGACAATGACGCTCACGACGAAGACTGCTACGACGACGACGAGCACGGCGACGGCGACGGCGGCGACGGCGACGGCGACGACGACGGCGACGGCGACGGCGACAGCGACGGCGACGGCGACGACCACAGCCACGACCACGGCGACGGCGACGACGACGACGACGTCGGCGACGGCGGTGGCGGCGACGACGTTGTGGCGACCACGGCGGCGACGGCGGCCGGCGGCCGCGACGGCGACGGCCCCGAGGAGCCCGCCGAGGGCGCGGGGGCAGAGCCGGCCAGCGACCCAGCGCCGAGGTGCAGGCCGCCACACGGCTGGCGTGCCGCCGCTGCGCGCCGCCGCTGCGTGCCGCCGCTGCGCGCCGCCGCCGCCGTTGGCGTCGCCGCCGTTGTCATCGTCGTCGGCGTCGTCGTCTGCGTCATCGTCTCCTCCTCGTCCTCGTCCTTGTCCTTGCCCTCGTCTCCTCGTCATCGTCCTCGTCCCCTTCGTTGTCGTCGTCGTCGTCTTCGTCGTCATCGTCTCCCTGCCCCCACCATCAGAATGGGGATAAGGATGATGATGATGATGATGATGATGATGATGATGATGATGATGATGATGATGATGATGATGATGATGATGATGATGATGATGATGATGATGATGATGATGCTGACGATGACGATGATGACGATGATGAGGAGGAGGAACACCAGTGTAAGTAAACCCAATACTCATCCACGATGTTGGAATAAGCCCTCCGTTCAAGCTCAATCTTCAGAGGCCCCTAGAAGGGTTCATTGAGGGAGGTGCCCCATTGGGAGACAACCGTTGAAAGATCCTGAAGCGTGCCAAAACACCATTCTCGGGACCCCAACGCCGCGAATCAGCTTGACTGCTGCGTCTTGATGTTCCCGAATCCTGCCAGAACATCATTCCTGGAATTTCAACGCAGCGAATCAACGTAACTGCTGCGCCTGGACAGTCCTGAATCGGTTCAAAGCGCCACTCTTGCTACGCTAACCATGGGAGTCCGCAAAACTTTTGCCAATGTTTCAGACGCGTGTGCGCGGCGCTAAGGCGAGAGCCACATCTTGAAAAGGAGCCGCCCTCAACCCGTGAACCTCCTGCACAGTTTTAAGACGAATGTGCTCGGTGCTAAGGCGAGAGCCACATTTTGGAAGCGGGCCGCCCTCCATCTGTGAAGCTGCTGCAGATGTCTGAGCTTCAGGATCAGAAAGGTAAGAAGGTCTCAGGTGGAACGCCTGGACCGCCGTTCCGACTGGCCTCGGGGTGCGACAGGGATGAGTTGTTCATAAGGATCTTGAATTGATGGTGCTGATGATGGTTATGATGGTGATGCTGATGTTGATGGTGATGATGATGTTCGGATAATGATGGTGATGGTGATGATGACGCTGGTGGTGATGATGATCAGTATTATTATGACGACCACGGCGACGATACTGATGATGATGGTGGTCAGGTTGAGTGTTCAGTTGTTGTTGATGATAACCATGACGACAGTGACAATGATAATGGCAATGGTGATGTTGACGATGATGATTACGATGATGATGGTGGTGGCGGTGATGATGATGAGGAGATTGATGAAGATGATGATGATGCTGATTATGATGATGCTGATGCTGATGATGATGAGGCTGATGCGGATGATGATGATGCTGATGCTGATGATGCTGATGATGCTGATCATGAAGAGGATGCTGATGATGTTGATGATGATGATGTTGATGATGATGCTGATGATGGTGCTTATGATGATGCTGATAGGATGGTGATGGTGATGGTGATGGTGACGGTGATGGTGATGGTGATGATGACGATGATGATGATGATGATGCTGATGATGATGATGATGATGATGATGATGATGATGATGATGATGCTGTTGCTGCTGCTGATGATGGTACATGGTGATGGTGATGATGAGGAGGAGGAGGAGAAGGAGGAGAACATTGGGAATCTCTAGGAGGAAGGCGAACAGGATTTCAAGGCGGAGGACGAGGGGGGGAGGAGGAGGAGGAGGAGGAGGAAGAGGAGGAGAAGGAGGAGCAGGAGAAGGAGGAGGAGGGGGAGGAGGAGGATGAGGACCAGTGGAAACCCAAGAGTCATCAACGATTTTGGAATTAACCCCCCCTCCACCCTCCTCTTCATAGGCCCCTACACCTGTTCATTTCCATTGAGGGAATTGCCTCGTTGGAAGACAACAGTTTGAAGACCCTGAAGCGTGCCAAAACATTGCTCTCGGGATTTCAACGCCACGTATCCACCTGGCTGCTGCGTCTTGACGATCCAGAATCGTGCCAGGACGCCATTTTCTGGATTTCAAAACAGCGAATCAACATAACTGTTGTGCCCGCATGCTCATGAGTCTTTCCAGAACATGTTTTGGGTACGCTACTCATGGGAATCCGTGAAATCTTGCAAATGTTTAAAGCGAATGTGCGCGGCGCTAAGGCGAGAGCCACATTTTGAAAACGACCCGCCCTCAATCCGTGAAGCTCCTGCAACTTGTTAAAAGGAATGTGCGCGGCGCTAGAGCGAGAGCCACATTTTGAAAAGCCACCCGCCCTCAATCCGTGAAACTCTTGCAAGCGTGTAAAGCTAATGTGCGCGGCGCTGAAGCGAGAGCCACAATTTAAAAACGACTCGCCCTCGATCCGTGAAGCTCTTGCCTTAAAAAAACGACTGCGCGCGGCGCTGAGGCGAGAGCCACATGTTGAAAACGACCCGCCCTCAATCCGTGAAGTTCTTGTAAGTTTTAAAACGAATGTGCGCGGCGCTAAGGCGAGAGCCACATTTTGAAAACCAGCCGCCCTCAATCCGTGAAGCTCTTGCAAATGTTCAAAACGAATGTGCGCGGCGCTAAGGCGAGAGCCACATTTTGAAAACCAGCCGCCCTCAATCCGTGAAGCTCTTGCAAATGTTCAAAACGAATGTGCGCGGCGCTAAGGCGTGAGCCACATTTTGAAAACGACCCGCCCTCCATCTGTGAAGCTGCTGTCACTTTTTATGCTTCAGGGTCATGAGTGGAGGAAGTCTCAGGCGAAACGCCCGGCCCGCACTACAAACTGGCCTCGGGGTGCGACAGGGAGGAGTTTTCTATGAGGAGGAGGAGAAGGAGGAGGAGGAGGAGGAGGAGGAGGAAGTGGAGGACGAGGGGGGAAAGGAGGAGGAGGAGGAGGAGACCAAGACCAAGACCAGCTCGTGGAGTCCTGAAGCAGAGCACAAGTACGCGTTGCCAAGGACTCTGAGGGGGGGGGCAACTCCGCTGACTTGTGCACCGCACTGGCATCTGCCGAGGACTCCCCTGTCGGGGCACGGGCCCAAGCAGCACCCCCAGTGGCACAATATCCCCATACTGCGCCGCTCGCAGGGCGTGAGGCCTGAGCACCACCTTTCCGAGAATGTGGTGGACGGGATCTGGGACGCGCAGGGCGAGCAGGAGCGAGAGTGACAGCAGGAATGGGTGGAAGAGTAGCACGAGAAGACGTAAATATGGAAACCTGCGCGGCGCGCTGGACGAGGAGGAGGAGGAGGAGGAGGAGGAACGGGAGGAGCCAGAGGAGGATTTGGGATAACTCGGGATAGCGCTGCCCGAGGGGGGCGGTGTCGTGCCCCGCCCCTTCGCCCACTTAGCTGGTCTGTAGCTCTGGCTTCTCCGCACGTCTCTGACCGCGCGGCTGACACTGAACTATACATGCGCGCCCCCTGTTTACGGACGGTTGGTAGCGAGCCATCCTCTATCCTTGGAGCTGTTGCGCGCTTTTGAGACGAACTTGCGCGGCGCTGCGGCGAGAGCCACATGTTGAAAACGAACCGCCCTCCATCCTTGAACCTGCCGCCAACTTATTAAATCGCCATGCCGCCGCCCCCCCAGAAGCAGCGAATGCTTGCGACATTCTTGGAAGTTATCTAGTGGGTCAGGAGCTTCTTGGATGCATGTGATGCTTTGGGGGGTATCTGGAAGGCCTTTTGGGCCTTCTTGGCGGCCTTCTGGAAGCTTCTTGGGGGCCCCTTGGGAGCCTCTCTTGGGGCGCCTCGGGGCCGCAGGGGGGGCTCCAACGGGCATCTTGGGGAGAACGGGTCGAAATGTCAGTTCGTATCCCCCTTCTCTGGCCCCTCTTAGGACCCTCTTGGGGCTCTCTTGGGCCGTCTGGGGGCCCCTGCGGCCATCTTGGAGCACTCTTGGACTGCCTTGGGGCTCCTTTGGAGGCCTCATGGGCCCTCTTGGAACGACCTTGCGGGCCCCTTGGGCCATCTTGGACGCTGACGGGCAAAAAAGTGTTAGTATGCTACATAGGTGAGTGGAACGGCTTTTGCCTCTTGGGGCCCTCTCGGCGGTCCTCTGGGAGCAGTCTTGGGCCGTCTTGGAGGCGCGTGGGCCGTCTCCAAGCCATCTCTGACCGTCTTGGGGCAAACCTGCGCCGTTTCGCGCTCTCTTGGGCTGTATTAGCATTCTGTTTAGGCTCTCTTGGGCCAACTTGGGGCTCCTTGGACGCTCCAGAAGCCTGGAGGGTGCGTTGAGGAGCTCGTCTAACTCCCCCCCCCCGGGGTGGTGCACACAGATGATGCTGAAGCAGCAGCTTTTGTGCACAGAGGCAATGTGGTGTACACGCGAAGTTCAGTGTACACAGGCGTTGCGGTGCAGACGATGCTTTGGTGTACAGAGGCGTTGTGGTGCATACAGGCGCTGCACGCAGATGCTGCTCTGCATCATCAGTTGCGGCAGGCACAGGCATACGTGTGTAAACACGCACTGCGGTGCACACAGGCGCTCCGGCGGCGTCGTATCCGCACAGGGTCGGATAAACCAACCCCAGTGCGACCGTGGGGGCAACGCAGCGGGGGGATAACGCACCCCCGGCGCGCCGTGGGTGAGTCGCGTTATCCCCCCCCGCCCCCCGCCCTCCCTCCCCATAGCGCGCATTGTCCCCAGGATTAACAATACGCTCTCCCCCTCCTCCTCCTCGGTCGGTCGGTCGGTCGGATACTCTTCCCCTCCTCCCCCTACTCCTGACCCTCCTTCTTATCTCCCTGTCTCCTCTTTCCCCTCCTCCTTCTGTCTCTTTCTCGTCTTCGTCCTCCTCATTATTCTTTTCTTCCTCGTCCTCTTCCCTCTTCCTTTTCTTCTTCCTCCTCTTCCTCCTCCTCCTCCTCCTCCTTTCCTCCCCCGTGTCTTTTTCCTCCTCCTCCTTCTGACCTATTGCTCCCTCCTCCCCTCCCTCCTCCCACCTCCAGGGTCATTCTCTGCTACGAGCCGCTGCGGCTGAACCCCCTCGCGCTGGCCGCGGCGGGCGGCAAACACCTGGCCGCCGGCCCTGGCGGCGGTGCGCCTTGTCGTCGTCGTCGTCGTCGTCGTCGTCGTCGTCGTCGTCGTCGTCGTCGTCTCGTCGTCGTCGTCGTCGTCGGCGCCAGCACGGGGCGTCGGCGTCGGCGTCGTCGTCGTCGTTGTCGTCGTCGTCGTTGTTGTCGTCGTCGTCGTCGTCGTCGTCGTGAAATATTCTTCTCCCAAATATCAGTCCAGCTGCCTCCAGCAATTTCGCCACCGTGCTAGCGCAGCATTTGGGGTGGCAACTGAGGCAAGGGGGGCTACTGGGGGCCTCCTGGGGCAGAAGGCTCGAATGCTTGGTTCGTGTTCCCACTCTTAAGCCCTTCTTGGGGCCGTCTTGGGGCCCTCTTGAGCAGTCTTGGGCGCTTCTTTGCCCGTCTTGGAGCCCTCTTGGGGGCTCTTTTGGCCTCTTTGAGGCCTGAGCCCTCTTGGGGTGGAAGGCCCGCATTGTCGCTTCGTGTTCACTCTCTTGGGCCCCTCTTGGGGGCGTCTTGGGGCTTTCTCGGGCATTCTTGGGCGTCTCGAAGTCCGTCTTGGAGCCCTCTTGGGCCGTCTTGGGCCGTTTTGGAGCGTGGGAAGCTCGAAAAGGCGAGAATCCCAAACGCACTACACAAATATGGGAAACCAATTGTTTGTACTTTTCAGTTCACAGCGAAGTCTTCGTACGTGGGCCAGCTCACACGCAAATCCCATATCCGCTTGCTCACAGAGGCGCGCGGCTCGGAGGCAGGCAGCAGCACGTGGAGGCCTCCTGATGGTGCAACCTGCTGGTGGTCTACGGGAACCCCTCCTGGGACGGCCGGCGTTGGCGTGGTAGTCCAGGACGCTTTTCGTCGCCAGTTCCCCGCGCGCCCCACGTGGGTGCGTACTTGGCGCGGTCGGGCGGCCAAGCTGTGCCTCCGTGGCCCTCTCGGCTCGTCTCGACGTCGTTGTCGCCCACGGCCACGCGGGTAGCCACCCGGTTCCCGAGGGGCGGTGCCCTGGACGGCGCCCCCCGGGCTCGGCGGCACACCGTTCCTTCCTGCTCCGGTCTGCGGGGCCGTCTCCGCGAGAGGAGCGGCGCGAGCCTGGCTCCGCCCGACGACTCTGCCTCGCGGTCCCGGGCGGGGACTTCTCAAGTACGTCGTGGACTCGAGGGGCAGAGCTGCTATCTCGGCCCGGCGGAGTATGCAGGCCGCCGGGACCGGCGAGACGAAAGCCCTTCCCGCGCAATCATCGGCAGCAGATCCGGCAGGGCGGACATGTACCAGGGCGAGCCTGCGCACGCCTCGGCGGCCTCCATCCGCGCCCGCCTCGGCCGCATCTACGCCAGCCACCACCTGGCTGAGCAGCTGGATCGACGTGTCCGCTGCACGGCACTGGCGTGGCGCGACGATCTCTCGCAGCACCGGGCCGTCTACTTCGCCCGGCGGTGCCATCAGCTCGCCGATGACTCGGTCGGGCCTCTGTCTTCCGGAGCTCGTTGGAAGCCTTCGTTTCCGCGCCGGGTTGGCGCTCGCTTGCCGGGAGGCCCGCCAGGAGCACCCCGAAGCCACCGCTCTGGAACGCCTGTACAGTGCCGTGTTTGATACATGCTCCGCGTGCGGATCATGCATTGAACATGCAGGGGTTTGGTACTAAAAACAAGGATGAGTTCATGCATAAACTCATTCACAAAATTAATCATGTATTAAGACACCTACATCTTTAAAATCCAATGTCTTAAACACTGCCCTACAATTATTCAAGACGGTCTTGAGACTGGTCGCGACCCGCCTGGACAGGGAGCGGGGTGCAGCGCCTCCTGCGGCCAGCATGACGAGGCATATCTGGGGAGAGCGACTCCACGCTGTGCAACTTGCCCGTGAGCACGCCATCGACGAGCTGGGTCGCTCGCGCCCGGACCTCGTGAGCCAGGACGCATTCCGTGCAGCGCAGGCGCGCCAGCGGAACACCAGGCTCCTGTACCGCCTCGCCCCTGGTCGCGCGGGCGGTGTCTCTGCGATTCAGATGCCCAGCGGGGAAGTTGTCACCCAGCCCGATGCGAAGGCCGCCGCCTTGCGATCCCACTGGGTCGAGGTCTTCCGGGCAAGAGGCACTCACAGTTCCAAGCTCGACCAGTGGACCGCCGAGGACACCGACGCCCGCCCCTTCTCCGACATCGTGCCGCTGCGCCCGTCGACCTTCCGAGTCGCCCGTCGGCATATAAGACGTGCCATGTTGACATCAAAAAGCTCCTCCCCAGGGCCGGGCGGCATACCGTTCGAAGCGTGGAGGTGCGTTGTGGGGCTCCCGGTCGAGGTCCTCCACGACGCTTTCCAGACGCTCACGCATGAGGACGGCCAAAGCCTCATGAGCGAGTTCTTGGGCGACTTCAACGCTAGCCTGCTCTTCTTCCCCCCGAAGAAAGCCTCGGGGATCGCACCCGCGGGGGAAAGGACACTACGAACCAGCCAACGTCAGGCCCCTCAACGTCACCAACACAGATCATAGGTTGCTGGCCAGCGCGGTCAGAGCCCTGATTGAATCCAAAGTGGGTACCAGAGTCTCCAGCATTCAACGCGGGTTCATCGGCGGCCGCTCCATGCTGTCGAACCTCCTTGCCATTGAGGAGGCTTCGGTCCACGCTGCGTGTGCCTCAGGCTCGGGCGGCGCAGTTTTCTTCGACTCCGCGGCCGCATTCCCTCCTGTGGAAAGGCCGTTCCGCATGGTGGTTTTCCTGTCTCTAGGTTGGCCGCCTTGGCTGTCGAACTTCATCGAGGTGCTGTGCAAGGACAACTCTTGCGACATGGTTCTCGATGGAGCCACCATCGCAGTTTCGACATCGGCCAGGGCATCCGCCAAGGGCGTCCCCTCTTTCCACTTCCGTTTGCCGTGGCGTCCGACCTCCTGCTGCGCGAGTTGATGCGCGACCTCCCCTTTCCGGCACCACCCGCGCCTACGCCGTCGACGCCGCTTACGTGGACCCCCAGCTTCTCGACCACCTCGGCGTCCTCGAGGCGATCTTCAGCGATTGCGCGGAGATCTCCGGCTTGGAGCTGAGTGTGAGAAGGACGGTGTCCCGCTCGGAGGGTTCTCACGCCAGCATATGCGAGAGCAGCTGCGGGAGAAGGTGCCGCTGTGGGGTGCCATGGAGATCGTGGACGCCGCCAAGTACCTCGGCTTCTGCGTGGGCCCTGGGCGGGGATGGAAGTCTTGGGAGGGAGCCTTGGAGGAAGATGGAGGAGTGGATGGCGGCAGGCTTTCCCATGCATGCAGATGATTCCGGTGGCCGTCTCGTTATCGCCCCGAAGGGCACGCAGGACGGAAATGAGGTTCAGGTCGCGAGGTTGGCCAGACATGCGCGACCACTCACGCTGAAGAATTCTTTACGCTTCGCGTATCCCCACCAGCCCATCTCACAACAGCAACTCACGCGAAGCATGCCGACAGTCGTGTTTTTCAGGCGTGTGTCCGTTGGGCCCCGCATATCTCCCCTGTTCCTCCTTCCTCCCGCCTCCTTGTACATCCTCCTTGTGGGGGGAGCGGGAGAAGGACGAGGCGGAGGAGGAGGGAGAGAAAGCGCTCCTCGTGATTTGAGTCGTTTGGGGTTTCTCGTCCTGGTGTGAGTCGTTCGGGCCCTTCTTCCTGGTGTGAGTCGTTCGGGCTCTTCGTGGTGTGAGTCGTTCGGGCTCTTCGTCCTGGTGTGAGTCGTTCGGGCTTCTCGTGGTGTGAGTTGTTCGGGCCCCTCATCCTGGTGTGAGTCGTTCGGGCCCCTCCTCCTGGTGTGACTCGTTCGGGCTCCTCGTGGTGTGAGTCGTTCGGGGCCCGCGTCGTGGTGTGAGTCGTTCGGGCTCCTCGTGGTGTGAGTCGTTCGGGCGCCTCGTCCTGGTGTGAGTCGTTCGGGCCCCTCCTTGTGGTGTGAGTCGTTCGGGCTCTTCGTGGTGTGAGTCGTTCGGGCCCCTCGTCCTGGTGTGAGTCGTTCGGGCTCCTCGTGGGGCCTCTTGGGGGCCTCTTGGAGCCTCTTGGGGCCTCTTGGGGGCCTCTTGGGGGCCTCTTGGGGGCCTCCTGGGGCCTCTGAAAGGTGTGCCGAGGCGAAGAGTGCCGAAGCCGATGCTGACCCTGACCGAGCACGACGTTGTGGAGAAGGGAGGCTGGCAGGTGTGCATGAGGTGTGGCTTTCGTGCGGCGTCCAAGCGGATGCGCCTGAAGATGTGGCAAGCGGAATGCGTACGGCCACTCTGGCAGGCAACAGGCACGCGCAGTGCGGGGACTGGCAGCTCGCTGGAGGCAAGCGTAGCCATCGCAGCGGAGGCCGCAGCGGCAGCAGTACCAGCAGCAGCACGGCCTGGAGAACAACACGAAGTACATGCTGTGCCTGAGGTGCAGGGCAGGCCGCATCGTGTGGAAGTCCATGGCCCGTACGTGGTTTGCGTGGTGTGCGGGGCTCACTCGGCAAGGCGTCGGGCGGGTCTCGGGGCTGCCTGCCCAGGCCCGCTGGCCCCCCGTGGGCGGTCCACCAAGGATGACGCGAAGAGGAAGAAGCGGGACAGGATTCTGGCGGGTAAGAACCCGCAGAATGGCAAGCCGATGGAGCAGGGCGCCGTCCTGCCAGCTCGGCGAGGGGCTTGAGGAGCAGCTCTTGAAGCTGCAGGGGGGACGTTCAACTATGTGAGCATGGTGAACGTGAGGTCCGAGCTGGAGGGCAACCAGCTGGACCAGGCCAATCAGGCCTGAGGCTGGCCGCAGTCTGCGGCGGACGAGCCCTGTGGCGGGATCCGCTGGGGGCTTGGGGGAGAAAAAAAAAGGCCTCCTGGGGCCTCTGGGGGCATCTTGGGGGCCTCTTGGGGGCCTCTCGGGGGCCTCTTGGGGCCTCTTGGGGGCCTCTTGGGGGCCTCTTGGAGGCCTCTTGGGAGGCTCCTGGGGGCCTCTTGGGGCCATCTTGGGGCCTCTTGCGACCTCCTCAGAAGCGCAAAGAAGCGCTGCCCCCTGAGAAGGACAAAATGAGCCCAAAACCTTCGTACAATCAATGTTTTTGCGATGAAGGAAGATGAGCGCGGCCCCCTCGGGAGGCCAGAATGGGGCCAAAACCTTCGTAAAAACAATGATTTTGGCTTCACAGAAGAGGGGGGGGACTTAAGTGCGCCCCCCCGTCGGGGGCAGAATCCTCGTGAGGGTCGTCGTTTTTTGGCCCTCCCAGGAGTCGAAAAAGACCCCTCTGACCACCCGCCGGAGTCCCTCTCCAGGCCCAGGGGGAGGGGGTAGGGGGAGGGGTAAACCCCTCCCCGAAGGGGGAGAAGGGGGTTGGGGGGTTGAGGACAGAGGGGGCTCGCTAAACCACTCACGCCCTAAAGGGCTGGTGGGATTCGTCCAACAAGCTCGTCGCTGCTGCTGCCGCCGCCTCTGTGCCCCCACTCGGCGCAGTTTCGCCCCTGGCCGTCAGCTCGGGCTGAACATCCTGGACGTAGACACGAAGGCGCGGATCACAGGCAGCCGCGGCAGAGCTGAAGCCCGCATGCCGCTCATGCTCCTGCTCGATAGCGCACAGGCTTTCCCTGGCATGTGCCACGATGGGTTACACCATGCGTTGCTGTGCGGGGCCCTGCCTCGACGCTTCCGCAATCGAGTCAAAAACATGTACCTCAGTGTGCGCTCGCTCACTGACTACCTACCAGACCACCCCAACCCAACCCGAAGACCCGAAGTTCGGGTTGGGGGGGGTAAGGGTTCCACATTTTTTTTTTTTTTTTTTTTTTTTTTTTTTTTTTTTTTTTTTTTTTTTTTTTTTTTTTTTTTTTTTTTTTTTTTTTTTTTTTTTTTTTTTTTTTTTTTTTTTTTTTTTTTTTTTTTTTTTTTTTTTTTTTTTCCGATGTTTCCCGACCCCCCCCCACTGGAAATCGAGGGTAAATCTGAGCCTTCGGGTTGGGTTGGGGTCGTTTGGTGGGTGGTCACTCACAGCGACTGGAGGTGCTTTTCTGTCTTTCGTTTGGTCGCTCGCTGGGGTCCTGCAGGGAGGCCCGCTCTCCGGGGCTTTGCTCACTCTCGGGGGCGACCTGCTCCTCCGAGCACTCATTCATCGGAGCGGACCGGCCTGGCAGGGGAATCGCGCGCAGCTGCATGTCCTTCCTCACCTCCCTTACCTCCGTCTTCAGATGCGCTGGCGAATACGCATGTCTCCATGTAAAGCCCAAGAAGTGCCTCGCCATGCCCCTCTGGTACACTTGCAATGCCGAAATCGTTTCGAGAGTGCGTGAGGGTTTGCGCAGTGCGGCGCAAGACTGGGGGGAACTTCGGAGTGCGAGGCTCGGGGACCTATCTTGGCGCTGAGGTGGGGCCAGAGGCAGCGATAACTAGCACTATCCGTGCGCCCCTTGCCAAGTGGCGGGCTCGAGCAGCAGAGTACGCGGCGATAGGGGGCGGCGCTATTTTCTCGGCTCTCTTGTGTTGCACTCGTGCCCTCCCCTCCCTCTCTTACTTGTCGTTGTTCTTCCCCCCATTCGTGGGGCGGGGCCCGCACCGAGCTCAATGTCCTCACCCGGCTTCTTCGCCTCCCCGGGTCACCATGGCGGCGGCAGGATTGGACTGCCCTCCAGCTCTGGGGCAGGCCCCGCATTCGAAGCCTCTTTGCCCTCTCCCTCGCCACCCTCCTTCGCTCCGCTCTGAAAGCCTTCCCTGGGTGTAGCCCGGCTTGTCTTTTACGCCGAACGTGAGCTCCAGTGACGCGCGTGGTCCGGGAGGGCGGATGGATCTCCCCAGAGTTCTGTCGCTCGCCCCCCCATGGTGCGTACGTACGGGACCGCTCTCGCGGGACTCCCTGCAAAGAGGCGCAATAGCCACCAGCGTTGCCCTGGCCGTGCAGAGCGCGCGGCAGGCGATGAAGGACACCCCCAGGGTCCGTCTTCAATCCCACCTCTGCCGCTCCCTCGCCTCCTCGCTCTTCCCCGACGACTTCGCCTCGCTCCTCTCCACCCGCTCCCGAAAGTGGTGCGCCTCGCCTGGAGAGCTGCCGCCCGATGTTGCCTTCCCCAGGGAGACCCTCAGAGCTCAGCTCCTCAAGGTCCCTGTCGCTTGGACTTTCGCATGTCTCCGCGCGTGGTGCGGAAACTGGACCACCGAACCCCAGCTCCAGAAAGACTCGCACACGGGCGTCTTCGGGTGCAGCGCATGGGATGATTGACGACATCACCACACAGGCGCACACTTCAACACGTGCTGGTCTTTGACAGTGGGGCGACCCCTTCCAGAGCGCACAGCTGCCAAATTCGCCCTGTTGGACACTCTCCCGCGGGCAGCTTTTCATATCCACAGGATTGTTCGCGTTGGCCCCAGGCGACCCGTCCTCCTCCTCCTCCTCCTCCTCCTCCTCCTCCTCCTACTCCTCTTCTTTCTCCTCCTCCCTCCTCCTCCTCCTCCTCCTCCTCCTCCTCGCTCTCCTCCTCCATCTCCTCCTCCCCCTTCCCCTCCTCCTCCGCCTCTTCCTCCTCCTCCTATCCACAGGATTGCTCGCGTGGGCCCAGGCGCCCGCCCACCCCGACCCGCCTCTGGGAAACCTCTGAAGCGGTGCGGGCCGCCGCCGAGCTCCCCCCGGGAGAAGACCTCCGGGAGGCTCGGCGTGCGAGCTCGGCTTTGAAGCGTCTGTGCTTCTCGCATTCTCCTGCGGCATCATGTCAGGTAATGCCCCGGAGTTTCGTCATGGGGCGTTCTTGGGCTTTCTTGGGCGCCTCTTGGACCTTCTTAGGGTCCTCTTGGGCCGGCTTTCTTGGGAACACCTCCACGAGTCGGTGTGCGAGCTCGGCTTGAAGCGTCTGTGCTTCTCGCCTTCTCCTTGCGGCAGCATGTCAGGTAATGCCCCGGAGTTCCGCTAACAGTCTTAGCGCCGTTCCGTGTATGTATGTGTGTGTTTGTGTGGAGTAGAGCAGCGCATGCTACGATTTGGTTTCGGGCTTGAGCCGGCAGTTTTGATTCTTTTGATTCCGGCTGAGTGAATGGGACTGGAGGGGAGCCCCCCAAGGCTTGTTTGTCACAGTCCGGATACTTGGCTTTTGGGCTCGGCTGGTGGCGTAAGTGGTAATCGGGTCACGGCCTCTTCAGAAAAAGGGCCCCAGCGCCACCCAGTCGGAGCCGACAGTCACAGGAACACCTCATGTAACGCTTGGTCCTCCTCCTTCTCCTCCTCTTCCTCCTCTTCCTCCTCCTCCTCCTCCTCTTCCTCCTCTTCCTCCTCCTCCTCCTCATCCTCCTCATCCTCCTCCTCCTCCTCCTCCCCCTCCTCCCCCTGCCTCCCTCCCTCCCTTCATCCCTCCCTCCCCCCCCCCATTCCTCCCTCCCTCCCCCCCCCTCCCCTCGACGTCGCTCGTCCGCCAGGCGTGTCCGCCTGCCTGCTGCAGCGCATGGGGCGCTGGGAGGCGCCTGGGGCAGGCGCGCGCCAGACCGCTGCGACCGCTGCCGCGGAAAGTCACCACAAAAATTCGGCTGCGGTGGCGACGACGACGCCGACCCCGACAGCGACGAAGCTGTCGCGAAACCCTGAGATTTTGGCGTCGCATGTCGTTTGAGTTGGGCGTTTCCGCGCGGTTTCGGGCTGCGGACTCTCACAGATCGATCGGACGCTGCTTATGATGTAGGGGCGGTGGCGGGATTGTGGAGACGTTTGAGGTAGGATCCGGGACGGTGGCGAGATGGTGGAGACGATTGAGGTGGATGTATGTGCTCAGAAGGACTTGCGGAGCTTACACAAGCACAGACAGTAAGCCACATCCGAAGGCTGGAGACCAGCCCCTGGAGCCTGCTTGCTATCGACCTTAGCTAACCGAGCTAACCTACTGATCTGTGGGGCTTGTCGCTAACAGTCACTACCGAAGACGGACGGTTTTGCAAGTGTTCCTCCTCCGCGGGCCCTCGCCAGGCCCCAGGGGCCGTAACAGATGGACAGAGCCGGCCCCAGGGAAGTGTGGTGCAGGCCCCTCGCGCTGCGAGCAATAGCGCGGCGTCGGATATCTGTGGGTGTCGCCGCTCCGCCATCGCCGCCGATGGACCCAGATGGGGTCGGGCGGGAGGACGAGGAGGGGGACGAGGGGAGGAGGAGGAGGAGGATGAGGAGGAGGAGGAGGAGGGGGAGGATGAGGGGGAGGAGGAGGAGGAGGAGGAGGAGGAGGAGGAGGAGGAGGAGGAGGAGGAGGAGGAGGAGGAGGAGGCCCCCAGACCTTCCCGGAGCGCTCTGCAACGTGCGGCCGCGACGCCCGATGCCTCCTAGCCGCCAGCTCTCCTCCTCGAGGCGACGGGGGGAGAGTGGGCGAGCCTCGCCCACTCTCCCCCCGTCGCCCCCGCCCCCATATTGCCCCTCGCGCCACCCTCACGCTTCCCTGGATGTGCGGCGCCGTGTTTATTTTACTACGGGCCCTCTGGAAGTCCCGACCCGTTTCCCGGGACCAGTTTTCCGTCCTGAGAAGTTTTTTGTCACACGCCGGAGGGCCCGGGAAGTGCCCCCAGAGGCCGAGAACGACGAAACACATTTTTGATCCGCGGGTCGAGAGCGCACCTCTTCCGGTCGAAGCTAAGCGGGCCGCGCGAAGCTTGAATTAGGCAGAGAAGAGGGAAAACGACGAAGCACATCTGCATTGTTTTTTTTCATGTTTCTTTTCAACGTCGGCGTCATTACTCCACGCGCTGCTTGGACCTGCTCCTCGGCACGCACACGGCAACCTTCCTGGTCTGAGCGTGCCTCCCGCCTGCGCCGAAGCGGAGGAACGACCGCGGGGCTGAAAGGAAGCAGATCCGTTCGAAGTCCAGGGCAAGTGTTCCCGACACTTTTCCAAGGGCCGCGTTTTCGTCCCCGAGTCCTTCTTGAGCGGCCCCCGAGTGCGAAGCTGGCCCCCAGAGGCCGAAAACGACGAGCGCCCACCGTCCTGTTTTTCGTCCAGGTCTCCCGAATGGGATCCGAGTTGACGGGGTCGGGCGCTCGCGCCGCACCGCAAGGCAGGATGGTGCATAGGCCCTCCCGGCCTGGGTGGGGGGGGGCGCATGCACCATCTTGGGGCCCAGGGTGGCTCTGGCCAGGCACGGCGATGGTGTATAGATGCCTTCCCCTCTCATCCGACGTCGGATTTGTCCGTGACGCCAGCCCCCGTTGATCTCGATCCCTTCTCCAGCGAGGAAGCGGTCTCCAGATGCTGAAATGATAGAGCAACCGCTGCCTCCATTTGGCGTCGCCATGATCTGGGGGTGTGCGTGCAGGAGCTCATCGCGGGCAGGATCAAAGCAGGAAGAGCAGAGGTGGGGAAGGCGGAAGCGGAGGCGGAGGATCCGCCGGAGGAGGAGGAGGAGGAGGAGGAGGAGGAGGAGGAAAAGGAGTAGGAGGAGGAGGAGGAGGAGGGGGATGGGGACCTTCCGTAGCTATTTTAGCTCAAGCCATTTTGGCTCAAGGGGCCTTTCTCCTGAATGCCAAGAACTAGCAAAACTACGGAGGAAGATGGAGCTCTGGAGGAAATTCAGAAGGCGAACCTATCTCACTGCCGTACTAGACGCTAACGGAAGCCCGTGTACTACACTCGAGCAGTCGGCCAACGCGCTTGCTGAATATTGGGGAAGTGTTTTTTCGCCAGCTACGGAAGATCGTTCCAGGTGGTCGGAAATTCTGAGACATGTTCAGATGGTTCCCGAGGACCTCGAGGTTTCCTGGAAGGTGGAATATGATACTTTTTTGAACAGATACGACACTGCGGTAACTCGATGCTTGGACCAGACGGTATTCCATATGCGTGCTGGCGAATTGGGGATGCGCCGAGATACCTCTACAATTTTTATCTTGAGGTTACCCATGGAAATGTTTCAGAGCTGCCTGACGAGATGGGGGAAGTACTGATGGTGTTCCTACCTAAGGGTGAGCAGGAGGGGGACGGGACAGGGAACATTATTCGGGATGCAGCATGCACGCGCCCGCTCTCCATGTCTAACAGCGATGCGAAGATCCTCTCTGCTGTGTTCTGCCACCCATTGAATGAGCTCTCTAAAGTGACTGTCGCACCCCTCCAGAAGTGTGTTAAAGGTCGACAAATGCGCACGAATGTAGTGCAGGCAGAAAGTTGGGGTCTGCAACAAGAGTTGCTTGCACATGACTCGGCTGCCATCCTCTCGACTGATTTCTCCGCTGCTTTCCCGTCACTTCTGCATGTTCGGATGTTTGCCGTGCTCAATGCTATGAATGTCCCCTCATTCATCACTAACTTCTACTTCATGCTCTATAAGAGTAACCAGGGCGTGGTAACTCTTGGCGGGCAGAAATTCGGAAGCCTTCCTATCCAGAGGGGGTGCGTCAGGGCGACCCTAGCTCTATGGCCCTCTTCTGTCTTTGCATTGATCCTGTATTGCGATGGATACAACAGACCCTCCCCGCCCATGTTGCTCTGTGCCTTGCATATGCTGACGACTGTCTTTTTGGAATGGTGGATGCCTTTCGCTCGACCACTGCCGTGTAGCGCATGCTTCTCGTCCTCGAGTCAGCTATTGGGCTGGCGCTCAACTTTCGCAAGTGCACTGTTCTGATATGTGGGAGGGTTAGGAAGGAGGAGGTCAGTGACATGATGTCCAAGGAGGCGAGGGGTTTGGAGTTGGTGGGAGTAAGTTCTGCTATCAAGTACTTGGGTCTGTATATTGGCCCAGATGCTGCTGGCATGGCATGGAGTGCCCCGCTGTCGAAATTTGATGCAAGAGGTGCGATGCTCCGACAGCTCGCCCATGGATATGCGATGACAGCTTCTACCTTTTTGGTATTGTGCCTCCCTATGCTCCAGTTTGTCCTCCAAGTCGAACCAGTCACGAAACAGGTCATGCATGTATACAAGCACATGTTACAATGTTTTACGAATGGCCCATACAATGCGCTCTCGTATAACATGCTTGTCTCGCTTCAGAAGCTCGGGTTCAGTATCGAGTCCCCAGATATCGTTGCTCTCTCGCGTGCCTGCCGCGCCCGTCTTGCTGTGAAGTGCCCTGGCATTCGCGAGTGTTGGGGCGAGCTGCTGAAGCTCACTGAGAGCAACGCAATATATTATGCCAGAGTTGTCGACCCACGGGGATGGCATCGCAGGTCGTTGTTTTACCTGAGATGTTTGAGATGGCGCAGAGTGTCGAGAATATTGTGCAGCCCTCCGATCTTCCCCCTGATACTCTCCAACGGAAACTCTACGCCCGTCTCCACGCCCCTCCTCTTCCCGGACCTACGGCGTTTGAAGGCCTTCAGTATCGACTGAGAAAGTGGCTGCCTGAAGTGGATTGCAGTGATCTCCCCCATCTTGTCCTTCAAAACCGACGTAGCGCAGCAGCGATTTCCCCTTGCCTTGCTGCGTGCGTTCTTCATATCTGCACGCGTGCTGTGTGTGCGAGTGCTCGCTTCCACTCTCATCCTCGTGGCTGTATCTTTGGGTGTACTCATCGGGGATCTGGGTTCGATATGTCTCGGGGCTGCGATGATCTACGTCATTGCAAATTCTGCCATCGCTTCCGCGAGTAATGTGTCCAATGGACGGGTGCTGCGTTTCCAATTGCCCCTGTGATGATTCCATGGATTGCCACGCTGATTCAGCTCTATCCTCTTCCCCCGAATGCGTTGCTGCTGTGCGCCTGCATGTGTGATGCTTTCCTGCGCGCGCGCCACTGCGTGAGGCTGAGCCTGCCTTTCACGGCCCAGCAATACTTTGAAGCTCGCCTCCGTCTTTTGACTCGGAGGCATGTGGCTGTTGCCGAGGCGCGGGTTGACCTCCGTGCAGGGCCCGGGTGGCTTGTCCCAGCTGGTGTGTCTTTGGGGGCCGAAACAGCTCTGTCACAGGGTATGCAATGAACTTCAGGGGCAGTGTCGTCTTTGAACGCTGGCCTTTGGCTCTGGCCGCTGCGCCACTGGGGGGGTGGCGCGGCGTTCATCGTCTGATCGTGGCCCACGGACGCTGCGCGGCCAAAACCAAAGCCCTCGCAGTGCCCGGTGCCGGAGCTGCGGGGGTGGCGGTTGAGGCCCCGTGGCTAGTGACGCATTGGAGCGGAGACGAACAAAACATTTTTTCTAAAAAAAAGGCCTTTCTCCTGAACTCCCCAACCCCGGTTCGAGCGGTTGTGGCGTGTCGGGGGGCCCGCGAGCAGTGGTCTGGAGTCCGCGAGCCCATCGGTGTTTGTTAGATGTCAAAGCAGCAGAGCACTGGCTGGCAGCGCACGGCGGCCTGCGGCCATTTCAGCTTCGGCTTCCGCGCGCGCTATCGGCAGGCGGGGCGCGCGGGGCGCCATCCTTCTGGTGCTGTTCCTCCTGGTGTCGCTCCCTGGCATATTCCCTCTCAGGGGGCCGTGGGCCTTGGGGCCTCCTCGTCTCGGCGCAGGCGTCGCTGGGGGGGGGGGGGGGGGCGGGGGCGGGGGCGGCGAGCCCAAGCGTGCTGGAG